TTTATAAAATATGATTTCACATATTTTATAACGAATATTTACTATAATTTTTGTTGAGAAACCATATATAATAAAACGCCAAAAATTTGAAATTTTGATTAAATATAAAACGATTGAAATGGTTTTCGTAATAGTTGTTAAACACCAAAAGCTGCATCGTGTAAAAACATAACGTTTGCAAAAAATATCAAAAAAAATAATTAACATCTAAATATTACAATTTACTTGTTTCTAACTCATACTTACATGCATAAATATACGTAATTTTGTTAAAAACAAAATTCAACCATACATTACATATATATATTGACAAGATTATATTGTGTAAGAAGAAAAGAAAGCATAGTATATATAATTTTCAAAAAATATAAAAAAATTAAATTATTATTTAATTTAACTTTTGTTTATGAAATTATATGTCACTCTAAACGCTAGAAAAGATAAAAAAATATTTCAAAAGACACAAAACGATATGAAACGCTTTATGTGATTGTTGTTAAACACCAAAAGTGTATATGTATAAAAACATAACATTTACATAATGTATAAAAATTAATGAATACTTAAATATTACAACTAATTATATCTAAGAAAAGGTTACACTTGTACATGCCTGGGAGCCAACCATAAAAGTTAAATAAATTATTATATATTTTAATTTTTTCAGTTTATTTAGTTACCATATTTACACTTTTTATTTAAAAAATTATTTTAAAACCTTGACTAATTTTTAATCTTCAATTTCTATGGACATCTATAACATTTTTTATTTTTTTATTTGTTTATTATTATTTTTTATTATTAAATATTTACATAATATTATTATTAATATATAATTATATATTAAACATATAAAACATTTTATAGTCTGCATACGGTGCAGACCGACCACCTAGTACATATATATATAATTTTATGGATTTTGTTATTAATTACATTGAAGTAATTATTTTAGACCATAAATTTTTTTTCATAATAATATAATTTTAGTGTTTTTATTCTATATTGTAAATTGTTTTTTTAATCGCTATTGAATCTACAAGTCAACCAGTTATAAATATCTCGTAAATGCATATATTTCTAACCACTATACCAATTGTACATACCACCTAGTAACCATAATTGTGTAGCAATTCAATCATGTGTTATTGACCTATTTTTCGATTAGTTATTTAAACATAAAATTTTAAGCTATTTATTAGAAATTTTCGAGCAGTCAAAAGGTAAAATAGAGGCAGAGACGTGACTAAGAAAAGGAGGAAAAAAAACCAAATAAAGAAAGAAAAAAAGGAGAAGAAGAAGATGAAAAGGTTTGGTTCAAAAGAGTTTTGTCGATTTACCGGCTAACCATGATGAACCACGTTCGGGTCTACATATCAATGGAAAGCGCTGACTCCTATCTGTTCAGAGAAGCCAAGTTCGTATGGATCAGTGATATATGTAGAAAGTTATGGCTCTTTTTGCAGATCGTGTATGTGCAGCGTGACTCTATACCAATATATGACTAATAGTTTTAAAGGGTGATTTTTCAGTCTACCAGAAAGCTTCAGATCATGATCAAGGAGTTCGTGAAAATATCTTGCTTCATAGAATTCTGGAGATTCAACGGTTCCAGAATCATCAATGTCAGTAATTTTACAGGAAACAGTTTCGCTGTAACTTTTTTGAGAGATTGTTTGGAGAGTTAAAAGAAGACCGATCGAGCTGATATTTGGTAGCAAGCATGGTGGCATATTGGACTTCATAATCAACTGTGGGATTTCAAAGAGAACAGTCAGTTTGTTATTTATTCATGTCTTTACAAAGCTAGTTGATGCAGTTTAAAACAATTAGATATGTCTGGCGAGTTGTAATGTTTGGATGGGCAATAAGATCGGTTTGAGCTCAAATTTGTTAGGAGTATTCTGGACTGGTGGAGCTAAATGTGGGTTGAAGCAGAACCAATTTGAGTATCAGGAGCATGGAAAAACGTGTTGTTGAACATCATTACGTATATCTGTCCAAAGAATAAAATGAACGATGTTTTTATAAGGTGGCCATATCTTAATTTATATAAATATAAAATTTTCTAAAATATTGACAATTTTCAGTAGGATTTTATAAGTTTTTCAAGATTAATGAACATCAAAAAAGTTTTTCCGTTCACTAATTCTCATATTTGTTTCAGTTCATAATTTTTTATATAAGATTTATTTTTATACACTATATGTTCTTTATGGTAAGAAATAAAATTTAATAACTCGATTTTATGGTTTAGGGTATAGCATTTCTTATATAAATTCACCAATCATTAATTATGGTTTAGCGCTTGATATCCATTTATATTTTATGTTAGTTTTCATCGAATATATTACTATTATTTCAAGGCTTTTATAACTTTTTATAAAAACTTAAATATGTTTCTCATGTGTAACTACATATTATCTACCTTGTTTGAATGGAAACGCTTTTTCAGATCGGTATATACTTTAAATCATGCAGTTAAACGAAGCCCCACAAACATAAACCTTAATCGTAGAAAACCTGAATCGTGGCTATCCATCATAAACCTAATCGTGAAATCAAACATAATTAAGCACTAACAATGATTTCTTATGTTAATACTATAATTTTCTTCTTTTTATACTAGCCACAGACCTCAAATATATATGTTCCGATGTACATTTGTTACTTTTTGACAAATTATATGAATACACAAAGCGTTAACGTTTCCGTAAATAATCATCTCAAATACTGTAACACTATAAGACCGATTGTTAATTCAAAAAAAGGCAAAAACGTCAAAAAAACTTTGCCAAAAATAAAAAGAAAACTATATGAGGTAACCCTAATTCTTCTTAAACTATGCTAATCTAACACCTATACTTTTTTCATTAATAAACTAACACTTTCACAACATAAATTTATTATAATTGTCATCATAGTGTGCGTGATAAATTATTAAATGAGAAAATAAATATCCAAGAGTAGATGATGTTTTCCCTTCTTCATCCCTCTCTCTCCCGTTTTTCCTTCTTCTTACTTTTCTTCGCTGTAATATACAATTTTATCAGTCAGAAAAACAATTTTCTCTCACATACAAAGATATACTGAAACGAGAGTTAATATTCACAATCAAAATTAACTAATTATATGGAATGTTATAGATATATCTTCATATCAACATGATATAAGGAAAATTGTTAACATGTTAAGAAAATATGTAACTTTTTATTTAACAATATACACATGCATTTATTATTATATATAAAAAATATGAGTTATTAATTATTTTAGAGATTTAAATAAAATTATAGATATATATTTTAATATTAACATAGAAAACACAGTCGAAAGAAGAATAACATACATTGAATAGATTTAATTATAAAAGTATACATTTGAACCTATTTAATTACAAAAATATGACAAACTATATCATTTATATTATTTGTTAGATCACATAAAAGGCACAGTTGGAAAAAGAATAACATACATTTGAACAGATTTAATTATAAAAGTATACATTTGAAATATTTAATTACACAAGTGAATTTATTATAATTTCAATAATTATATTGATGTAATGAACAATAAATTCAATGTAGATTTAAGATTTACTATGCGGTTCAAAAATAACAATTTTATAAAACTTAGAAATATATTTTTCTTTGTTGTTTCTAAATATATAGTTATTATAAATTTGTTATCATTGCAAAATAATGCTCTGGAAAATTATAGAAATACAAAATTTCTCATTTCATTGAAAAAATTCATAATAACAAAGCTTAAAAATAATATTCTTTCTAGTTTTATTTTGAATCCTTTCAATGAAAAAAGAAATAAATTTTATAATTTTTTCAAAATATTGTTTGCAATGAAAATTTTTTAATTACCACATTTTGAAAACAATAAACAAGAAAATATATTCAAGTTTTATCTTATTTTTGTAAAATCTTCTATCCTCAAATCACATCGTAAATCCCGAATCTAAATTGAACTTATTGTTCAAGGCATCTATAAATTTGTTAAAATTTAAATAAATTATAAATATACAAAGACTTCAGATCTACACCAATTAAATAACAATATTCATATAGGAATCAAACACTATACTATGAAGGGATAGTAAATGCATCACATCACATGACATACATATGCATATAGACACTCGTGTATCAATAGATATAAAAACTAGAAAGGATTACAGACACCGATTGTTTTGCACGATTTTGAGTAACTCACAAGTCAGGCAAGAAGAGTGCTCATTGGGACACTTTCTTTCCATTGGATCTGCTCATACTCGTAGCCATATTTTAAAGCTCTCTGAGTTTTCTTTTGTTGATAACTGTATGCTCTCTGAGTTTAGAAAAATAACTATGGTCCCATACATTATATAGTTATTTGGTTTTGATAAAAGATAGAATTTTTTCAAAAAGCTATTTATCTTGATATGGAAAGAAATACTATATAGTCAATGTGTTATCTTTGACATAAATCTGTTCTTATCATTTGCAAATTTGTAAGTTTAATCTTTCAATTTGGAAGTAAACTTAATATTTCAATTTCTATTTCCATTGACTAGATAATTTTTTTAGAAATTAACTTTCTTGTAAAAATTAGAGTTTACTTTCCTACTAAAACGCAATAAAATATGGGGGAAAACACTTAATCGTTACAAATTCAACTACTACTCTTCTTATACGCAATCGTTTCGATATCACTTTTTTACATATTTAGGATTCAATTTTTTTAACCTAAGAAGGAGAAAACTGTTTTTTGCCCATGTGCATTAGTAAAATGAGTTGTAGCAGATGTGAACGAAGTCAAATCAGTACTGTTCTTGTTCAGATAAACATACCACAATAGTACACTAAGGCTATAAAATGATCCATGTACAGTAATACATAAATACATTAATTATACCGAGAAAGAACAAAATGTTTACATAACAGTCAAACGGGTCAATCTTCCTTGAGACTATTCCGGAAAGGAGTCTTGAGAGACAAGCCAAGATCTCTTCACAACTCTTCATCTGGCTGCAAGCTTCCAGGGATTGCACCAAAAGCTCTTCTTGAAACTTCAAATCCAGACGCCAAGAAATAAATATATGCAGACATGTCCTCCAATTGTTTTCCCACACTCATAGAAGACGACGCGAACACACTTGTCTTTGATAAGTTGGAATCAGCTCTTGATAATCGGTTAAGATCTGAGGCTTTTATAAACCGTTCAGTAGCAGCATCCCATGAAAGTTCATGTCTTTGTTGTTCTGTTAATTGTGATGGTTGTTCCCCAAAAGCCTTGAGCGTGGCTCTAACGAAACCCTTATCATCGTCATAGACTCTACAGTTAGGGAACTGTTTGAAGAAGTCGTTTGATGTGTGATTTGCGCAAACTATGGTTTTTCCAATTGCCAAGGCTTCTGCAGTTGTTGTGCAAACCACATCTGTCGTGCTCGGATTGAGAAAAACTATATAGCTGAGATACAAGATAGATAACTTCTTTTAAGTTTTTAATTATAGATAAAATCCAATAGATTGCAAAGAAACCAAGTTTGAGGTGTTTATTAGATTAAGAGAAGGGTCTATGTTACAAGCGTGATGTATAGTTGAGGTTTTTAAAGTAGAGACTTACTTGTGAAATGGTGAGTCAGCATGATCACGTCCTGGGTATACATCAACCTTCAGGTCGAGTTTCTCGACTGCTTTTTTAATCTCTTCAGAGTCTTCTGCACTACCGTATAAATCAACCTGTAACCCAGCGAGTTCCTTTTGGTATCTTGTAAGTAGTTTAAGAAGCTCCTTGTACCCTTTGCTCCTGACCATCGTACAAATGTAGTATGCACCTTTTCGTGAATGGCTGCTCCTCATGTTCTTGTTTTCTCAAACCAATACCGAGAAATTTAGGGTTGACACCGTGAACATTGCAAACTATAGATTTAGGGTATTCTTGAGTTGCAGCTGATAATCGGATTACCAGCATCATTAGCACAAGTCCTGACTCAAATCAAAATGGTCTGATAATAGTAAACACAGGCCAACAAACTGTTTTTGGTCATCAAATCAGAATTGTGAACACGGTTTAATATTTTAAGCAGCCACTCCATCGTGTCTACTAGTTGCTGTAAAGAAGTTTACATTAATACCATTATCTTCTTCACATAAGTGAGCAATTACTTCAGCTAATTGCTGTAAAGATGTTTTACCTTGTGGCAGTAAATGCCAACAACCCAACTGTTAAGATATTTGAGGAGAAAAGCTTTGAGACGACCTTGTTTCTCTCTCTTTACGTATTCCAAGTAGTTGGTGTGTACAATCCCTATGACGTAGTTCAACTTGGTTTTCCATTTTTTTGCCATAATGAAACCAGGTGCGATGCTCAGGTTCCTCAAGGACAGTAATGTCTGCCTCTTCATCAGGGATAGTATCCGATATATCTCCAACAGGAAGAATACTTCTTTTGTCTGTTGCAAACTGCAATAAGATCATTTGGAATACTAAAGTGAGATTAATGCATCATAATTAACATGGCACATTCAAAAACCAGTGAAAAGTTAAACTCATACTAACACGTTGCATTAGAGATTAACAAGAAAGACATACATGCATGATGTCCTCACAGATTTGAGTCTAAAGCAAAATCTCGGTGTCTTAGGCTCTTAGCATGTTGGTGCCAAGGTAAGCAGTTTGAGTCCTCATTCTACAGAATTGATTGTTTATTATAAAAACTAAATGGGCTTAAACATTTTTTATTTTTGCTTTAGGCATGAAATTGGCCTGGATCAGTTTTGGTAATGGTTGTTGACAGCAATTATGGAAAACATTATCTACTGCTTTTTTCCCGCAAAATTAAAAGTTTTTTTCATTAGTATTTACGATTACAAACCGTTGTAGCTAAACAAATATTTGTTTTAAAAACACAAAATTTATTGATAGTAAAGATATATATATATATATAATATTTTTTCTAAAAATAATTTTACAATATTTTAAATACAAAATATCTAAGTAAATTTAAAACTTTTTGAAGTAATATTAATTAACTTGTGATTGCTCTAAAATTGATATTCATTAACTACTCATCATAGTTCTATATTTATAAGATTTTTAACCAAAAAAAACTAAATAATTTTTTTCTACCACTAATCTTATATATTATTTGAGAAGCGAGTTTAATAAAAAATGACGACGTGTTGTTAGGATAAGAAAAATTAGTGTAAATTAATAATGACCGGAAAATATGACATGATAAATTTCCTAAAATTAATTGTTAAAAAGAAATCAATCTCACTTTCAAATAAGAAAAAATATATTATATATGAATACATTCTCATTATATACCAACAATTGGAAATTATAAAAAAAAAACCGGATAGAAAAATAAAGTATCATTTTAGTGAAAAAAAAATAGAATTAAAAGTAAAAATAAATTTCTACGACTTTGGTTTTTTGTAAACATTTTGGGCCATATATTTGGTCTTAAGAATCTCCAACACACCTTTATTTTTAAATTTTCTAATTTAGAAAAAAATAGAGATGTTATTTTTTTTCCTTTATAATTGGAGAAAAAAATTAAATTTTTTTTTTCTTTTGTCAACAGCTTCATGTTCCAAGAACAACTTAGGAAGTCTAGTTGGAGGAATTGAATTTACATAATTTAGATGATAAAGGTAGTCTCGAGCACTTCATGCTAACTTGTCCGCATTTGTGTTCTGCGTGCGTGGTATCTTTGAGATTATGAAAACTTTAAACTCCCTTATATTCTTCTCATATTCCTCCAAATGTACAGAGAAGGCTGGCCACTCCATTGGATTAGACACCATCTTCACCAATTCGGAACAGACTGTGACAAAAGCCACCTTCAATCTCCTAGCGTCAAGTATACATTGCATTGCCCATATCAATGCCTCCAACTCTGTATGCAAAGGTGATAAACTCCTTCCAACGTTTCTCATTCCCATTAACATACCCGTCGTTCCTGCTTCTTGACTGAACCACCCCAAACCCGCATTGGGTTTATCTTGTTTCCAAGATCCATCTGTGTGACAAATCACTCCGTTGTACGCGAAAACCCTATCTTGTGTCCCACATGGTATGGTTACCATCACTTCATCAGTTTGTGCCTCATCCCAAGTATGTGCTTCCGCAGTTACCAATTTTACTATTTCTCGGGGGTCCCGATTAATATTTGAGAAAATCTTATCATTTTTCATTTTCCAGATATACCAAATAATCCAAGGATATACTTTCATATCTTCATGATTCGGAAGATGCCAAAATAAATTTGTCATATTAGAAAATATGGCATCCATTGGAAACCGGTGCAAAGGTGTGGGTATTGATGATAGTGCCCATACCTGAAATGCTGGGGGACATTCAAAAAGTACATGGTTAATAGTTTCCCTATCGGCACCACATCTAATGCAGTGAGGATCACAATTTTCACCTCTGCTCCGTAAACGGTTCATAACCGCCAAATGTCCAGAAAGTAATTGCCATAGAAATGTTTTATTTTTGGTTGGGATTTTACCTTCCACACTTGTGCCTGTAGTTGACTGACATTCGGACCATACCAAATCGGTGAATTATCTCGTTGTGGATAAGCTCGCTCCGTTTAATATCCCAATTTTACTGTATATCTCCCTGTTTTCATGAAATTCCAACCCAATACATCTGGTATGTTTCCTCTAGTAGTCGCCATCCCAGTGATCAAAGATATATCTTCTGGTACAATTAATTGTTTAAGTAGTGGTATATTCCACGTTGATGTTGTTTGATCAATCAATTGTTTGACTGTTAGCTCATGGTAATAATTAAACCCCTTGCATGATGCTGATCTTGGGCGTGAAGATGGAATCCAAGGGTCAATCCATACAGATATAGAATGACCAGATCCAACTCTTTTAATAAGCCATTTGTGTACCAGAGATCAAACAGATGTAATACTCTTCCACCCATAAGATGGAGAGTATGATCATATGGGATCAAGAGGTGTTGCATTCCTGAAATATCGACCTTTAAAACTCTAGCAAAGAGAGAATCCGGAAACTCAATAAGTTGCCAGAGCTGTTTAGCCAGTAAAACTGTGTTGAAATCCTCAATAACACAAAATCCCAGGCCATCTTCTTGTTTTGACTTACATAACTTGTTCCAGGCCAGCCAGTGCATACTGTGATTGTCCATTGTTACTCCACCAAAATTTGGCTACTGTGCTCGTAAGTTTAGTAGTGGTCGCTTTTGGCAACCTAAAGCAAAACATAGTGTACGTCGGAACTGCTGTAGCTATCGATTTGATAAGAATCTCCTTTCCACCTTTTGATAATAAATTAACCCTCTTCTATTGTCTGTCTGATAGAAAGTTAAAAATCTTTGTTTTTGCTCCGCTCATACTCTCCGGGATTCCTAAGTATGTACCTATTCCCCCAACGTTGGCGATTCCCAATACATTTTGTATCGGTCCTTGTATCGTCATATTAATTTTATGCCCAAATTGCACCGATGATTTATCAAAATTTATCTGGTTACCCGAGACCTCCTCATATTATTTTAAGATACTAAAGAGCACATGTGCCTCCTTTTTAGTTGCTTTACAAAAGAATAAACTATCATCCGCAAAAAAAAAAAAAAAAAAAAAAGTGAAACTGGCGGGCTTGCTCGCGCAACTTTCATCCCAGTAATTAGGTTATTTTGTTCCGCTTTCTTTAGGTTAGATATCAATACTTCCATGCAGAGAATATAAAGATATGGAGATAATGGATCCTGTTGTCGTAGCCCTCTATATGGTTTTATATTATCCCTTGGCTGTCCATTAATAAGAACCTTATATTGCACTGACCCAATACACCACATCATCGAGGTGATCCATTTTTCTGTGAATCCCATCCTTCGAAGTAAATGTTCAATAAAAGGCCATTCAACTCGATCATAATCCTTACTCAAATCTGTCTTTACTGCCATATATTCCTTCTCACAAGAATTATTTGTTCGCAAGCCATGAAACATTTCTTGTGCTATTAGAATATTATCCGAAGTAAGCATGCCTGACATAAAAGTGGATTGTGTCTCTGAGATTAGCCGTGGTAGCAACTTCCGCAATCTTTGACACAGAATTTTTGATATTATTTTATACCCAATATTACAAAGACTAATAAGTCTTAATTTTGTCATACGGGTGGGTCTTTCCTTTTTGAGAATAAAACAAATGTTTGTTATATTTAAACGTTTATCAAACGTCCCTAAACAGAAAAAATTATTTACCATCTGGAGTACATCCTCCATTATAATATCCCATGACCTCTGAAAAAATAAAGCTGTCATTCCATCAGGACCGGGGGACTTTTTTGGATTCATCAGAAAGAGCGCCTCCTTCATTTCTTCCATTGATGCCTGCTTAGTTAACTCATCATTTTTTCGCTCTGTGATTTCTGGTTGTATTTCGTCTAAGCCATCCTCAAATGATGTTGGAGATGTAGACGTAAAAAGTTCATTAAAATAATCCACAGCAACTTTCTCCACTTTATTTTCACCTGCTACACAAACTCCATGCTTGTCATGTAATCCAACAATTCTATTTATTGTCCTCCTCTGTTTTGTTATCGCATGATAAAACTTTGTATTTGGATCACCACATATGTTCCATAAACTCCTACTCTTCTGCTGCCAAAAATCGTTCCTCATCACGATACGCATCCTTGAGTTTTTGAGTTATTTCATGAGTTCTTCTTGCGTTTGTGTATCATCAGTCTGGATATCCTCTAATATTCTTTGTAGTTCCTCAATTTTATCCCTCCCTTCCTTCCTCCAATTTGAAATTGAGTGTCTACATACACTAAATTTGTTGACCAATGAGTTAGGCGGTGTGGAATGAGTAGTATTCCAACCTTGGGTTATTGCCTCAAACAATCCCTCCTGACCAATCCACCTCCTATCAAACCTAAATTGCCGTCTTTGTTTTATCTTGCTTGACGCCATTGTTGCCACAATAGGTCGATGATCAAATCCAATCATCCGTAAATATTCCACATAAGAGAATGGAAATAAGTCATGTCATTCCTCTGTAGCGAGACCTCTATCCAATCTACAGCTAACATTTTGTCTGTGGCGCCAACCTTTCCAAGATAGCGTATTCCACCAGTTTGGAAAGTCAAATAATCCACAATTACTAATCATTGTATTAAAATCAGTAAATGAAGAAGCCTGCCTAAGAGCACCTCCTTGTTTCTCATGATTGGCTGTGATTTCGTTAAAATCCCCAATTAAAAACCATGGATTAGTTCTTGTCAAACTTGTCTGTGTTATTCGCTCTCAAACATCGGCTCTCAATTTTGGAAATGGATCGTCCTAAATAAAATATATATTTATAATTTGTCCTTCAATAATTGTCTTAATATCAATAATCCGTTTATTAGAAAATAAAACCTTAAAATCAAATGTTTTATTATAAAACAAAGCCAAACCACCACTGGCTCCACACGGTTCAACCGTATACAATAAATCATAACCAAAATGTAATTGAAATTGCTCCAACAAACTAAAATGTTGATTTGTCTCTAAAAAAAATAAGAAGTTCAGCCTGAACTTGCTCCAAATCTCCCTAAGATAGTTTATTG